CTAGATAACCCAATAAAAGTGACACCTATACCTAGATATTTCATAGTAGGATTGCCCAATACAACGATAAAATATCTAGATATTTTCATGTGGGATTTTCTGCTGGGGAAGGAGAAGAGAGAAAAAGATACGACCGAGAGAGAAAGAACAAGTGGAGGAGGAAAGAGAAAAAGATATACTGAGATACATAGTGCGAAAACCATAGAGAGCAAAAGGAACACTAGGGTAATATGTGCTCGTTGGCATATTTATTTTACCTTTATTTTTTAAAATAAAGATTTTCTGTACATTTATTTTATAAATATAAAGATTTTATTTCTATTTATTCTTTATTATAAAGAAAAATAAAACACCGCTATCTTCGATGACTTTGACACTAAGCCAATAACGCGCATAACTATTTTAGTTGATCTAAAGTATGTAAAAACGATTTATATGAAATTTTGAGCATCACACGTTTTACATGTTGAAGTGCTTCATTCACATCTTTCATGATCATATCCACTAATAGATGTCTTCAGTCTTCCGATGCACGCCTCAAAACATCGAATCTTGTATTCACAGGTGTTTATAGTATCCCCTTTTAAATAAAACGTATCTCAGCTATAAATTAAAATCAGAAATCTCTTTTAATATTATATTGCATCACTTTAACTACGTAATAAGACAAAATATCAGTTTTACGTTCGATATGAATAGAGCAAAATGTCGTACCCTGCAGGCCTCTAGATATGAATTCGCTGGTTTTACTTTTCAGGATTACTCGATAAACATAACAAATATATAACTTACATCGGGCCCGTTTCATACATACACTCATGTTCAAAAAGGTCTCGGACTGACCTTATTTAAAACCAGCAATCTATCATCATTGAATATTTATAGCCTTATCAGTGATGGGCTCGGTTCGGTTTACAACTTTTCAAACTGACCTCAGTTTCGGTCCGGTTCGGATTGAGACGTTTCTGTTTCGGTTCGGTTCGGTTTCGAGAAAACACGAATCGAACCCATCTAAAAATAGTTTTTCAATGCATTTCTCAACTTATTTTACATCTCAGTTCTGTCCGGTTCGAGACTTTTCAGTTTCGGTTCGGGTCATTTTTCGAAAAACACGAACCGCGTCCATCATTGTTTCGATCAAAAGTATTTTACGATACATAGGAATATAAGTTATAGATGATATTCTTACACAAAACTTTTACACTTTATTTATTGATTGTCATCTCAATTATATCTTCTTTCTCACCTGACACATCATCATTCGATGCATATGGTCTCAAACTCGCTGTTAACGACATTCTCTTAGTTGAATCTCTTCCTCAAGATTCTTCTTTCTTCCTACGTCTTGCTCCTTTCAATTACACTCCTTGCACACCTGCATATAATGATTCTAATCAGTATGTCTACGCTGTGGCACTTCATTCACAAGCAACATACAACGATACCATTCGCTTCGTATTCGTTGGTGTCGATATGAAAATAGATGTACCATTTATTAGCTCATTGATATATACAGGTGTGACGGGACCAGCATATGTAACTACAGTAAAGCCGGCTCAAAAAACTGTATTTCCTTGTAATGGATGGCAGCCAAACAATTACCGCATACACCAATTACAACAGTTTGTAGGCGATGATGATGACGAAAATACCAACAATGATTTCTTTGTCGTTACTGTCGCGTGAGTATTTCTTTTCTTTCACTCATTGTTTCTGTCGTGCAAGGACTAGGTTAGACAAATTTCAAATGCAAACTTTGAAAAAAATTAATCCTTTCTTTTTCAAATCCAAATTTCCCATTTAGCACTTTTTCTATTAATACGACTTGTGGAGAGTGCTAGTTCCTGCGTCTAACAGAATCTTTTGGTGTGTAATTGAGGACTAAATCCAACAGAAAAGTTTAACAGAAAACAGAGTAGATATATACCTTTTCCTATTTTCTTAAGTAAAATTGTCTACATTGAACGGTATGATAACTCTCAAGTTTCTTCTTTTATATTCTTATGTAGACCAACAGGTCAATTCGCCTATGCGTTCACCCAAAGTTTTCTGCTCGTGTATGATCTCGGTAGAAACTTTGTTTCGACTCAACTTGGTAATGTAACTCAACTTGGAAAAACAACTGGAATGGATAAAGCAGTTGGTTGGATTGATACAGATCTCATCTTGGTACTTGTCAATACGTATTCATTAAATTATATCTGGTCATCATCACAAGTATTTGCATACAACGTAACAATTCCCAATAGTTTCGATGTTATATCGATTTTTCCCAACATTCAACAGACATTAACAGCCACATTCGGTCCTATTCTTCTCTCATTGGTTATTACTCAAAATGGTACCGCAGTGATGTTAGATTCAGATGGTAATTATTATATCCTTCTTCCATCGCCTGCCGGTTCATTCTCCAACAGTAGTCCAAGCACGTGTTCGTCGCCATCATTGTGTATTGCTGGTACTTTCACTTCACAGTTTGGCATTTTCCCATGCTCACTCTGTCCATCGGGTACCACAACAGCTGGTCTAATCGGCCAATCTTCATGTGTACCTTGCGAAAGTGATACCTTCTGTACACTAGGTGCAGCCTTCGGGGATTTCAGTATGTCCTCACCCCTTCTCACAAATGTCAATCAAGTGCTTGCCTATCCTGTCTCTCCTCAATCAGTTCGTTTTGACAACATTCTAATAGCGAACATGTTCACAATTCAAGCTTCTTCGTCGCGTCATTGCTTACTTATCTCACCACTTTTTTAGACAATTATTGTTATTTTGTTTGGTATATTCGTTTGGTTTATGATGCTCATTTTTAAGCGCTACGTTACGAATCCGACAGTAAAGAAGACGCATGAACAAATAGAACGACTGTTGAAAAAAAACAGATCTGATCGATGGGGGAGAAAAGTTCATAGGCGGAGTGTTCAGTTTTTCTATCATTGTTCTTGTAGTATTCGCTTATACGTTCAGTAATTCATATTTTTGTCGTTATCCCATTGAACAAGTCAAGAGGACTGCTAAGTTAGCTTGTGATCCGACATTGACAAATGCATAGTTCGGTACTGGTTTAATGCCAATTGGTATTCCGCCCAACGGTAATGTAGCACCCATATTTGTTCTTCTTAATGCTCAACCATTCACGCTGCATATCGATTTTATCAATACAGTCTTCAATTGTACAGATATAACTGTAACACAAATGAAGAACATAGATCTACCTATGGCTATTTCTTCGTGCAATGATACCGAAATTAGTGCATCTTTCGCATTACTTCTACCATCACATGATATGAATTTGCAAATACAGCTCACTGGCATTAGCACTATTGGAGGTGATCATATTGGCCTCGAGGGTCCTGGTATGGACACAGAGAAGGACACTTTGAACGCTGCTTATACGCTCGTTAATCTCACGTTTGCCCAGACTTTATCAAGCGCCGGTCGACTACTGTCACAACAGCCGTCTTGCACACTACAACTCACTAAAGTGATCAACCACACATATTCACTGGAAGAAGACGGTGAAACTCAATTTAGTGGCGTTTGGTTACCTGTTTTCACCGAAAGTATGGATGAAATGTTTGTCGATGAAAATGAATACAAGTATGCCACGAGTTCAATTACTGTTCTCTCAATTGTGATTAGCGAGACGTCTTATTACACATTGAACATACAATGGCCAATTACTGATAAAGATGAACTTATTTTTAATAATCTTCTCTCCACAATTGTATGTCTCGAAATCTTCGGTTTGGGTTTACTTATCTTCAAACTCATAATTATTCCATTGTTGAAATGGGTATGTGACTATTGCTGTCGGCGATTTCAGACAAAGAAATCGTCCGAAAACAATCTTGATCTACCAGAGATACTTGTTCGAATTTAATGTTTTAGCTTTTAATAGAAAAAAAAACATATCGCAAAACTTCCTGTTTCTCAATAAAGAAATTTTTGTAAATAAGATTGTTTTACTATTTCAACGTATAAAGATTCAAAGAAATAAAACAGTAAAGTAACAAGAAAATCAGTAATTTTATGTCAACAATAAAGGGAAGAAAGGCAACTTGAGGATACTTTTACTAGATTCTTTTAAATTAGAATATTTAAATAAATG